CAGGAAACTTTTCAGACTAAAAGGTGAAAATTTTGACCTTTTATAACAAAAAGCTACGAAGGGATGAAGTTTGTTTTGCATCAGTGACTATTTGAAGTGAAGTGAATCTCGATTCACTACTTCAGTGAATCTCGATTCATTACATGAGAGGATTTGTTTGACAGTATAATAATGTCATTTATTATTTAATTATTGAATCTTCTGCTAATTTATTGTTAAACTTGACAGGAACGACAATCCAATCAGTATAATAATGACATTTATTGCACTCTTTAATGATAGTAAAATTTATTGCACTCAGTATAATAATGGCATTTATTACACTCTTTAATGACAATAAAATTTACAAAATTATCCATATCGAGCTGAATCCATCTTCAAATCTCATCCATTTGATGTTGCACAATCCAATGAACCACATTGGTTTTTAGTTTTTAGGCTAACTAAGTTTTTAGTAGAACCTCACCATACATACATATATATATATATATATATATATATAGGGAGATGTTCTAATAAAAACCTAGAGAACTAAAAACCAATCCTAACCCTCCAATCTATCTAATCCAATGGCCTACATTTCAATGGCAGAATTGTAAATATAGACAAATTTAATACACATCATTAATATGAAAATGGTAAAATTGGAACAATTCACTACATTAATGGTGGCTGGCAACATTGGAAACCAAAAATACAACACGTGGAACAATTCACTACATTAATGGTGGCTGGCAACATTAATGCTTCTCTGTTGAGTTCTCCATTTCCCCATTTCTCTCTCTAACTCACTTCCTGCTCTCTGTAACTCACTTCCATCTTCTATCAAGCTTTGATCTTCCATCTTCGCATGAAGAACACAGCAACAATTCATTAAAAATCATCCTAATCATCCAAGCTTTCGCTGGAGTGAATCTGGATTCACTCCAGTGAATCTGGATTCACTCCATTGAATATGGATTATATTGAAGAATAAGAAACTTATGGTAAAAAACAAGCTATAAAATTTTAAACAAAAAGAATAAGAAACTTATGATAAAAAACAAGCTATAAAATTTAAACCATGAAAAGATTTCATCTTTTACAGCAAAAAATTACGATTTTTATGGTAAAAAAACAAACACCTCACATACAGAATCTGGATTCACTGCTGTGAATCGAGATTCACTGCAGTGAATCTAGATTCACTTATGCGTGTCTTCGTTTTTTCAACTGGTTTCTTCAAAAAATAAAAAACTTTTCAGACTAAAAGGTGAAATATTTCACCTTTTACAACAAAAAGCTACAATCTTTAAGGTTAAAACTAAAACTTTTAGACGAAAAATCAAACAAATTTTATAAACTTACCATTAAAGCGTCAAAATAATTTAACAACCCACTGAATCATGAAGACGAAGGTTGAAGAAGACCGTGAAGACGAAGCGTCAAAATAATTTCATAAACCATGAAGACGAAGGTTGAAGAAGAGAGAGTTGCTGTGATTTTGGAGAGAGAGAGGTTGAAGAAGACGAAGGTTGAAGAAGAGAGATGTTGAAGACAGAGAGAGAGTTGCTGTGATTTTGGAGAGAGAGAGAGTTGCATGGGGAAATGGAGAACTCAACAGAGAAGCATTAATTACCTCTCTTTAGTGGGCTGTTTATTTTACCTAATTACCCTTATGCAGCTTTAATCTCAGCCATTGGATGAATCTAGATCCAATGGAGAGGATTGGTTTTTAGTTTTTAGGATAATGAGGTTTTTATTTGAACCTCTCCCTATATATATATATATAGACACACACACTTTTAAACTTAAATTCTGCTAAAAGTAAGTAAGTCTTTTCTTTGTGTATTATCTTCTATTACGAGTTAAAAAAAGGTCCTTACTGTTCAGAATGCTTAAAACTCATGGGAGAGATAAACTTGAGAATATTTTAAAATCATCCTCCTTTTCAGCACCACCATGCATTCTACTTCTCCAACATCCCTATGTTTCTATGTCATGTATGCAGAATATTAATCGTCTATAAAAGCAACTGGCTTCCATGGTTGCATCATCAATAAAGGAAATAACCATATTAAATAAAAAATATTAAGTTTATATTAATTTTTCTAGCGGAAGGTTCCATTTGGGTACATTACACTAAACGCCCTAAACTTTTAGTGTTTTGTAGCAAACGTCTGTGGACTTTCAAAATCACACTAAACCACTAATAATTTTACAGAAAACACCCAATATTAGAAAACCCCCAATATATTTCAAAATGACATTTTATGTTGTTTTCTGGTTCTAATTTATGGGGGTTGTCTGCAAAACGTAAAAACTTATTGGGGTTTTCTACAAAATAGAAAAGTTATCGGAGTTTATGTGATTTTGAGAGTTCATAGGGGTTCCTTGCAAAATACTGAAAGTTCATAGTGGTTTAGTGTAATTTACCTTTTTCCATTATTATTCAACCATTTAAGACATGGGTCAGAATATGGCACAAAATAATTTGAAAATATGGATACACTCATATGAATATACAACAAAATAATATATTTCAATGCGTTCATTTCTATAAGAATAACCTCCAGAAAGGGCTAGAAGAAAACATGAAAACTCTCATGACTAACAATTCTAC